CTAATTAGAGTTAATTGGACCTATAATTGAATGAAAGCTCTAATGTAGTATTGTGTTTTGGGTTCTGGGTTTAAAATGCAAATAAAATTTCCCATTCATATATAATACTTAAGTATTTTTTAAAGTTAGTAAAATATCAAAACTAGAAAAAGTGTTTTCTCCCTTTATGGTTAAAAAAAAATCAAAATAATATAAAGGATTCTCTTAATATGAATTGTGACAAAGATTAATGAATTAACAGAAGCACATATTATTCACCACAGCAAAGAGAAGAAGAGATGGTCAAATTGATTCTTTTATCCAAAGAAGAGAATATATCTAACCTTGTTTCTATTTTGAAATTGCTTCCAGATTTTGTGCTTGCAATGAAAAAAAAAGAAACTTTGATTTTGTTTTTGCTTGTTAGATATGTTTATTGTTATAAAAATGATTGCATATACTGTTGTGTGTTAGTAAAAGGTTGCAATTGTAATATTGTTATCTTCTCTTATGATAAAGAAGTTGGTGTCTTTTTCTTTCCTTTTCCCTGTTTACATCATCTTCCCCCCCCCACTTCTCCTAGTTCTCTATTACTATTTTGAATTTCTCTTTGCATTTTATATTTTGATAAACCAATAAAAAGTTTGATATCGAAGAAAAAGTTCTATGTAGTAGTCATTCAAAATACAGAATAGTCATCAATGAAAGGTTGGAAGGCTTATCTGTTTTCCTACATTTCCTTCACTACAGCTATCCAGCAATCAAATGTCATCTGGAAAACAAAGCTTTCTCAGATACCATTCTGCAAATTCACTGGGAGAATCTGCAGTGATGCTACCGTGCAAGTATGATCTGGTAGTATTCTGTTTATTACAGAAGTGATCAAATGATTAGCTATACCAGACTGCAATTTCCATAGTACCTGACAATTCATCAGATATTGGCAAGAGCTGGTCCAAATCATCTAAAAGGAATCATATTGCCCAATCCTAGTTAATTTCTACTGGTTGCAGCAATCTTTTCTTCCTTATTTGTTTCAATTTTCCAAAATAAAGTGACTTATAGATGATTCCACTGGCTATAGAAGTACGATTCATAGTTAGGAGGAAAGCTCATTAGAGGAGTTTAGATTAATTGATGCTGTTATACAATCTTAATTATAGAGCATAATTTAAATATAATTTATTAATTATATACTTTAAATCACTGTTCTGTTTTTAAATGCTTTAAGTAGAAAGACAGAAGAAATCTGAGAGAAGAAATCAAAGCAAGATTATAGATGGCACTGAATATAATACAGTGGTGTTTAATCTTAGGAAAATCAACAAGGAATCCAAATTCAGATTATTCTATATCATGCTACATCAAGAATCTCCAAGCCATGTCTGGACAAGGCATGCTCCAAAAGTGATAAATGCCATTCTAATATAGAGAGACACTTACAGAGTATGACTGCCTGTGTCTCATAACTAAGAGCTCTTGATCTAGTCGTTAATTGGATCCCCTGGGACAAATGAGGGGAAAAATTAATGTACCTTAAATGCTTTTCATTTTCTCCTTTAACCCCTTTTCAAAGTGAATTTATAGATACCATTCAACAAGTCAGCATGTGGAAACTATGCACAAGTAGCCCAGGCAAAAGATCTTCCTCTGCAAATACTGGCATCAATGAACAAGACATTTTGATAGAATGAAGCCCTGAATACTGCCAAACAGTGATATCAAAGGTAGGACTGCCATTTTATATATGGAACATACTGGAACCTTACATGAGGGATTATTTTCAACTTTCTATGCCCTAGAAATGCCAAGAAAAGCCAACCTGCTGAATTTTTGCCTTTTTAAAGCAAACTATGAATAATATACTTTACCCAAAGTATGGGGAGGGGAGGGGAGGAGGAGATAATACAAAGCTTCTTGTGCCTATATGTGAAAGTACTTACAGAACAAAGGCTGCTTGATTGGTTTGTTCTTTCTTCCCATATATTATAGTCCCTATTTACCAGGGGTGAAATTCAGCAGGTTCTGGAGAACCGGTAGTGGAAATTTTGAGCAGTTTGGAGAACCAGCAAATATCACCTCTGGCTGGCCCCAGAGTCGGGTGGAAATGGAGATTTTGAGGAGTGGAGACGGAATGGAGATTTTGCAGTATCCTTCCTGTGCCATGCCCCCAAGCCACGCCACAGAACCAGTAGTAAAAAAAAATTTAATTGCACCACTGCTATTTACCTAATAGTATTGCTATTTAGTTTGATAGAAACTAATACAAAGATTTTTTTTAAAAAAATAAATTTGTTAGTAACTCTGCAGAGAAAGGGGGAAATACATACCAAAAATGGTTCTGGTATATGTTCCAGGAACATAAATATTATCTAAAATCTAGGGATTAATTGAATTTTATTGTTACACAACTGAAATTTTAAATGGTTATTTGGAGTCACATTATGTATTCATTACTATTTTTAAAATCCTATGAATGGCATTCATAGAAATGCCATTCTTAGATTTGTACATAAAGCTGTTTTCTGCTAGAACTTCATACAAGAACAGCATTTAGCCATAGGGAGATAGATAGATGGATGGATGGATGGATGGATGGATGGATGNTGGCTCAGAGGCAGGAGAGGAGGCCATGGCCTGTACTCACGGCTCGTTGAAGAAGGAGACAAAATGGCCACCGGAGCTTCTTCGCGCCAAAACAAAATGGCCACTGAGGCTACAGAGCCTATGGGCCAGGCGCCATGAGATAGCCAAGGCCGCGAGATTAATGAGGGCTTTGGAGGCCTGTGGAGAGGCTGCGGAGACGAGGGCGGCAGCAGCGGTGGTCTAGCAGTGACGGGAGTGCTGAGGAGGGGCGGCAGCGTGCAGCAGTGGCAGCGCTTCTTGGCAGTGGCAGTGGCTGTGGTTTCTGGTGGCTTCTGGTGGCATTTGGCGGCTTCTGGCAGCATTGGCGGCAAGGGAGAGCCAGGGAGAGGCAGCAGAGGTGGCAACGCTGAACAGGGCCTCCAATGGCCAGTGCTAAGTAGCGCTGCGTCGAGGAAGCCTCTGAAAGCCGCAGGCAAAGTCAGGAGGCAGAAGCCTCAAAGAAGCCCTGGCCATTCTCCTCAAGAAGCTCAGGGCTAATTGAGAGCCCTGCTCCGAGATGAGCTATCCAAGCCGATCTGTTCTCCTTTAGTAATTTAGAGATGACATTTTTGGAGAAGAAGCCAATTAAAATTAATTAGAGTATCCAATTGTGAAGTTTAACTAGAACGTTGAGGATAAAGCAATTAGCACAGCCAGTTCCGATTGAACTGAGTCTAAAAAAGCAGGACAACACTCCTCAGAGGCGATGACATCACTTTGGTAGACTTTGGTAGAATCAGTTCTATTGGTTACTGACTGAGTTAACCCATGCACCGCTGTCTCCACCAACTTTGGAGAATGCTGTATTCAATGTATAAGACACACCCAGATTTTCAGCCTCTTTTTGAGGGAAAAAGGTATGTCTTATACTCCAAAAAATACGGTAGTTTATATGAGAAATTCCTGCTCTAATAAACATTTCATGTGACAGGTACAACAAATATCTTATTTCACTCAGGACATCTTGCTTTTCAGATTCCTTGTGCCTAATGCTTGTCTAATGCTTGTAAAAAATAGCTATCTGTTGTGCTTTTTCCTCTAAGTACTGAATATTAACTTACAAATTCCATTGTAACTGAAGAAAGTTGGCTATTTAATTGAATCTTCTAATGTAAGTCACAGTTTGCCCAGAAGTCTTATTTCTTATTTTTGAATGTAGAAAAATATGGGTTTAAGAGTAGGCAGTCAAAAGAGAATTGAATGCAATTAATTACTTAATGTTCACTATCTGACCCACTAAGAGTAGAGAAGGTCAGGCATAGGAAGGTTTTCTGAAATTCATAAATTGTGCAAATATTAGTTATTTGATAAATATATAAAACAGAGAAAAAGCAAAATGTAGCACCATGCTATCAATCTCTTACTATATGCAATTGTTTTCCTGGTAACTGTATCTTTATCTATATTACTACAGTACAATACTAAATCAAACTAATCCTCCCTCTTCTCACTATCTCCTTCATGATTCTTTTCTACCATCATATTTATTCCAAGAGTCCTACAAATCATTGAACAGGCTCGGTTTTCACAAGGCAGGTTCCCTTTTGTTTAGGGTGTTGATTGTTACAAAGTTTTTTTCAACATACCTTAGAATTTACTCAGACATATTGAATATTCTGATTCCATTGTGTTCACATGGGAATGTTGCATTTGCTATAAGAAAGATCCAGTTACCAATGTCTGTGTTTTTCTGTCCTGCTGCAACTATCAAGTAACTCTAATTCAGGGAAAAAATATACTGGATACATTTTCTTATCCTGCAACAACATCAAAGGCGACATAGGTAACTGTGAATACTCACCTCCCGCAAACTCTTGTTGACCATTTCTTCTGTATTCATTTTTAAACCTGATTATACTTGCCATTTTTTTACTAACAGTTTTTACCATTGCCTATTCTCATTTGCATATATTCTGTTTGTACCTAAGAGATACCTTTTAAAGCTTCTTTTCCATTTTTACTATTAATATATTCTTATTTTACAAGTGAAATTAGTTTCTGGAATTTTTTTTTGTATGTGTATGTGTTTTACTGTGTCACTTACTGCTTCATGTGTAGTCTTTTGTTCTCTATCTTTCTCACCACTTTCTTTTCAAGGATCTTTAAATACTTATACCTAATTTTTAGTCTAGATTGCTTATTATAAAGACCCTAGTAATAAAGTACTGAGTTGCAACTGAGAGGTGCAAATGAACTGCAAGAATTCAAGCTACCTAAACTTTGTGCAGAAACTGCTAACAAAATGCACAATACATGACAGCCTTATGAAAAAATAGACATTTGATGTTTTCACTCCAACATTTGATCTCAACTAGTCCAATTAAATAGCTAGATTCCCATGAATGTTATTATGATCGGAACAGAAAGATAAAGCAAATGATACAATTTCTACTTACATTCTTTGGACATTCCCACTTCAAAGCATTTCTGTAGTCTGCAGTATTGGCAGCGATTCCTAGTGACTTTATTAATAACACAGTTCTTATCTCGGTGACATGTATAAACCATGTTCTTTTGAATGCTCCTGCGGAAAAAACCCTGCAATCAAGCAAAAAAGAAAAATGAGTGTAGTGAAAACTGTTATTGTATTTCAAATTGTTCTGTTAAGTGTCACATTATAATGCATAATGTGGGTAAAAGTGGGGGGGGGGGGGAGAGTGCAGTACTGCAGGCCACTTCAGCTGACTGCTAGATCAGCAGTTCAGCGGTTCAAATCTCACCGGCTCAGGGTTGACTCAGCCTTCCATCC